CCACCGACTCATCAGGAGGTTGAACCCCGACAGTCCGCCCAAGACGAAGTGCACTGATGGCCAAGGACTCGCCACATTTGCGTGTGTGTGTGTGTGTGTGTGTGTGTGTGTGGGTGGGTGGGTGGGTGGGTGTGCGTGAGTGCAAGTGCGTCTGTGCGCGCGTGCGTGTGCGTGCGCGTGCGTGTGTGTGTGAGTGCGCGTGTGTCCAACATAGAGCAAAGTCGTAGTCGTGCATAGCAGCGTGGAAGTCAGTCGAGTAGCTTGAGTGTCGAAAACAGGCGTCGACTCTAGAGTAGCACAGAGTAGCGTAGAGTAGCTCAGTCCAGTAGCTTGAGTGTCGAAAACAGGCGTCGACTCTAGAGTAGCGCCGGCGTCGACTCTAGAGTAGCACAGAGTAGCGTAGAGTAGCTCAGAGTGTCGAACAGGCATCGACTCTAACTCGCCGTCCAGTACACCTGCCCTCAAGTCAGCAGTGCGCGTGCCCCAGAAAGTAGTTTCTATACGTTGTAGCGGCGCTGGACTGGTAGCGCGTCACGCGCAACCCCGGTACCGCGTGTGGTAGGGCCGGTAACACGCTTTGGTACCGGAGCTGGCGCGTGGGCCCGGTACAGGCCCTGGCGCGGAGCCGCCCACGACGGTTCAACTTCTAAGAGCAAACAATCAGCAGACGATCGGGACCGTCGGCGAGTGTAAGATCGCAGGGCCCCGATCGTCTGAATGTCACAGGCCGAAAATTAGCGATAGTTATATATGCAGGGATCTGCTCCTACCTCTACATTTAAGCAGGCATGCAGTAGGACCTCTTTTTTTTCTGCTTGCAGTAGGGAATTGTTGATTTTGAAGACGCTTTCTTTTTTTTTCAAAGGGCGACGGCCTTCAAATATCATCATTGAACTTAGAACGATTTTCTTCTTTTCATCGGATAGTATCTGGATTCGAACTTGTCTGTATTTCAGCAGTTCAGGGGTGTTCCACCTGAGCTAGGCACGTCGATAGTTGACGAAACTTTCTACCTTTCCCTTGGCCCCAGAAACATAAAAAGACATATAGATTCAACCATTGCTGATAATATGACTGCTAATAGACTAATAGTCTGCTATTAATATATCCCAATCCGCTAGTTGTGCTAGGATAGTAGAGTGTATCAGCTATAATCAGCATGAAAGAAAAAAAAACGAGTAAAACCACAAATATCTTGAGACAAACTAAGTAGGGTATTATTTTTGCAAGGATCCTTGACCTTGGTGGTGCCCAGCAGGAGCCACCTGCATCAAACTGCCCAGGCCCTAAGGAAAGCCACGTATATGGATATTTTGTCGGGCCTATGGATAGGCCCAGGCGTTCTAAATAAAGCCGGGCATCAAAGTGATGGCCCAGACATATGGAAGTTGGTGGAAGCTCCCGGTACTGGAAGGGCCCAGTACTCTATGAAGCAACCACTACCATACTACTCTGCGTCGGTGCGTGGTAATGTGTTGCTGTCAGGAATCTGTGTTATTGGCATGCCTGTCCTGCTGGTTACCGTTCGATTCTGTGAGACCCCAGGAATTTGTCCATCCAGACATCCAGATTCCAGACCTGTCTGGTCCAGATTTCCAGATGGTCCGGTGATCCAGATATCAGGATCCAAGAAGGCATTCGCGACCCCGCGAATTTGTCCATCCAGACATCCAGACCTGTCTGGTCCAGATTCCAGATGGTCCGGTGATCCAGCTATCAGGATCCAAGAAGGCATTCACCCGGTCAATGTCTGGATGATGCCCAGGTCCGGATCCAGTTCCGTTTACCCAATGTCAGAGCCACTTATTCAATTACCGAGTCCATGTCTCACATCGTCCTTGCTGTCGTTGCCACACCCTACTTGCCCCCCCTTTTTTTTTTTTTTCCCCTTGCAGAAACTGTGCCGCTGTGCATCAGCATCAGGCTTGAAACATCTGACATCGGAGCACTTGTGATAACAAGGCTGGATGGCACCAGTATATCATTGCATCTTTGTTTATGTTTAAACTACTGTTTTTTACATCTAAAATACTGCCCTGGACCATGACATGGCCTTCAAAAATGTCCAAACTACCTGAGATATCCCACAAGATCCGGTGGTTTAACCATGGCCACAACCACAGGAATAACACTTTGCTTTCTTTACAAAAAACAACACATCACCTGGAAAACTTTCATGCATGCTCAAGTTGGAAAACTAAACGAACACCCGTAACACAGGTCCAGAAAGAGGTTCAAAAAGGGGGAAAATAGTAGGTGAAGTTTGTGAACCAACCTGAACATCAATCTCCATGGATGGTACTGCATGAAACAGATCACGCAATGGCCTCCTTAACATCACCTTCAAGCCAACCATATCTTGAACCATAGGCTGTTGGGTCAGTCCCCCAAACCCCACCATGAAGTTTGCGTCTTCAATCTGAAGACAGAAAGCCAAAGGTGTTACCTTGTAAGTTAGACAGATGGTCTCCTGATGTAGGTAGGGCTGCCTACTCTAGCGGGACAAGGCTGGGATCCCAGGCCTATGCAGCCCAGCCCATAGAGACACAAAGAAAACCAACATGACCTTCATGGTCATGACTCCAATCCATTTAGAGGGACCATCAGTCTGGTCCCTCTTCCACCCAGCCATGAAACAAATACAGAAAGGCAGAAGGCTGTATCTGACAGCATTGACTGATTACGTTCGTGGTTCTGTTTTCACACTTCCCATGATCTCGAGTACATGAGCTCTGGTTCCAAGTTTGAAAGATTCTGCATACATTTTGGCCAGAGTGCCCAGAAAAAGAGGATTTACTGTTGGAGTTTTAACCATTATGACTGGATACACGACTCCCTTCCCGTAAACTGCTGTGCAGCACATCATATTTGGACCATTTCTCAATTATGCGTGCCAACCTCGCGTGGGGGACCATGTTTATATTCTTCCTCTATATCGTTCCAATTTTAACGCTGTGGCCCACAAAAAAAGGATTTACTGTTGGAGTTTTAACCATTATGACTGGCTGCATGACTCCCTTCCTGTAAACTGCTGTGCAGCACATCATATTTGGACCGTTTCTCAATTTGTGTGTGCCAACCTCGCGAGGCGGAGCATGCTTATATTCTTGCTTTATATCGTTCCAATTTTAACGGATGCCCCGAAGGCTTGGTGGGAGTTTTTCTCCCTCTCCGCAGTGGTGATTGAAATGGACACGATCTGAGTTGTAAAACATGGTGAAAGGATTTCACGCCAAAGTCGGTCCTGGTCCAGAAGTTACAATGGTCCCACACCCATGGAAGTACTGATTCGGCAGGCCCAGCGGTGGAAGTGCCATACTTAGGTCCGTAGAGTCCAGTTGGCCGACTGAAAGTTTAGGGTCGTTGGAAGTCTGGTAGGCCTGGTACCCAACAAGAAAAGTCCAAGTCCCAGTCTAAATTTGGCAGCAGCATCCAGCGAAAGTCCAGTGGATTCCTGAAACTTGCAAAGTTGCACCCACGGGCGTTGAAAGACTTACCGGTCTGGCGCCCACGAAGACCTCAACTGATCTGCTATTTATAGGGCTACAGTGCTCCGAAGACTTCACTTGTCAATTTGTGGTTGCGGATGCTCTGCTGAACACTTGTGCGACCATACGGGTGGACTGGTCGGGGAGATCGAGGGAGAAGCCGGTGTTTGGGGGCCATAGCTAGGACTAGCAGCGGGGAAGACGACCACTGTAGCCGAGAGAGAGAGAGAGAGAGAGAGAGAGAGAGAGAGAGAGAGAGAGAGAGAGAGAGAGAGAGAGAGAGAGAGAGAGAG